CGAACCTATACTCGTGCCGGGTCAATGATCGGTTGACCGAGCCCGGTCGCGTCCAGGCCGGGTTCGTCATTTTTTTAAAAAAATCATAGAAAAAATATAAAAATAGAAAAAGTGGGACATTGACCCAGCCCGGACTGGGCCCGTCGGGTCGGGTCATGAAATTGATGACCCTAAAAATGGCGCATCTGAAATCCGGTTCGGTCCTAGTCACGTGGTCAACGAGTTTGACCAGGTCGGGGGGCCGGGCGACCCTTAGCCATGTCTACACAGAAGGATATCAATCTCCGATAACCTACTAGCTAATGATTGATTCCTGATAGCTGATGATAAAACAAAATCAATGTATTTTGTCTCAACCCTAGGCTAGCTTTACCATCTTCACTATTTATTGGTGAAAAATAACTGAAGAAGCGTCTTATTAATAATCAGTTGCTACAAAGGCTGTGTATAGCTGACAAACCAATGAACGGATACCATCCTCTCCCCCACATAAATTAAGTGTTTACATACAACGCCAATAAATAACAAAATTGTCCGTGTACTTTAGCTACCGCGCATTAGAATACGCTCTCCAATTACCCCTCCAGGCCGAGAGCCCGAGCAAAAAGATTGAGATTTTATAAGATACATGTTGCATGACCTCAGAGCACCACATTTGTTATGATAAAATGTGTTAAGTAATTCGAGACAAATGAAACTTGTGGGCTGTATATTTAATAATAATGGTATTTTTGTTTGTTGTAATTTGCGAAATAGAACTTGTAGTATGTCTTTCATTAAATTGTTCTTGTTGGGCATGTAAATTCACGACTAGAATAAGGTAAACTTATGCATTTCAATCCTCCAATGTATTATCCATTTGAACGATATAACATGTTAATCAATTAGTTGATGAAAATAAATGTCCGAAAATAACATTTACGGTATGCCGTGTTCATCAATTTAATAGCACAAATACATGTGTTAGAAAACAAAGCATAAGTTATGAAATACTTATCAATTTGATTACCCAAATAGATGTGTTAAAAATAAGTTATGCACTATCAATTATAACTATATGCAATAATTTTGTCAGTGTATGTCTATATTTAACAAATGGAATTATACAAAATATTTAGCAACATGAAATTTATTTTTGGTAACCTAAAAATAATTACATAAACTATAACTGATATTTACTACTTTATTAAAAAAATAGTAATTTAATATTACCAAATATAACTAGTATCGTGGCCCGTGCAAATGCATGGAACTATTCAAAATAAATCAAATAAAGAAACATAAATAGAATAAATAATTTTTATATACAACTAAATTGATTACTGTATATAATGTTTATATTTGTATATTTTATTTCTCATCATATATCAAAATCTTGTGTCTTTTCTATTTGTAACTCGAGAAGCAAGAGTTCGTAGGAGCTAAAAGACTAAAATATATTCTTATTACATATATATTCTTTTTTTTTTATTGTTCATAGAACAAATTGACATAATATTAGGTTTAATAAAAAAAATAGGAACATTTTATTGTTATAGATATAAAAATTACTCGACGTCCTCCAAAGTTATTTCGGCAAAACGTGTTGTTCTGTTGTCAAAAGTCCTTGTCTGCGGTTTGTTTACACCGACGACTCATCCAATAACATCTGCAAATAGTACAACAAATAGTAAAATTAAAATACTTATTAAAATAAGGATTAAAGATTTATTAAAGTATGAATGAATAAAAATTGTACCGATGAGCATAGGGTCGAAAAAGGTTCCTTTAGTCAACTCAGAAAAGCTCGTGAAATTATAGAGGAATTTTGAAAACCTGTCTTCGGAAACTCTCACCACCCGAGTGCGGCCATGAAAAGCAATTTTGTACCTTCCTATTTTTGTCTTATATCGACCACCGTTTGGAGCTACAATGAAATCCTTGATTGCAATAACACTTTCTTCCTTCAGATGACGCCTAAAAAGCTCCATATGGAACTTCTTGATAGAAGCATGAATACGGTACCCCTGAAATTAACAAATAAAAAAACAATTATAAAACAATTCAATTATAAGGGAAAAATATTATATTCAATGTGAATATTGAAATTGATTTACCTCAGAATCATGAAGTATTAATTCAAGACCCAAAACTGTAGAGCGATCCCCAAATATTGTACGCTCGTAGCATCTTACAACACGAACCTTGATGTTCCATTCAGTTTTGTCCATGTTCACATTCTTGAAGTATTAATTCAAGACCCAAAACTGTAGAACGATCCCCAAATGTTGTACACTCGTAGTATCTTACAACACGAACCTTGATGTTCCATTCAATTTTGTCCATGTTCACATTCTTCAGGAGAGTGAATGCCATGATTTTTTGTTTGTTTTTTTTGTTTGCTTTCGTNTTTTTTTGCTTTCGTGTGTGTTTTGCTGTAAATGTACGAACGAGATAGAAGTATTTATTTATTTGTTTATAACGATTCAATACTTGATCCCACTAACTACAATAGTAAAACATGACTTGTTAACTGCCACACGGTAGAAAGTGTTGAGTCCTTAACTGCACGATAGAGTGGAAGTACTTAACTGCTGAACACGATACATAATCTAATTCAACCACTTACTGTAATCCAATTCATTTATTATTTATTATTTATTGTTTATTGTGTATTGTGTATTGTGTATTAGTATAAAAATGCGGTAGTTACGAATGAACGATGTAGGTGAAACTTAATATCTGAACACGATATATAGTATCACTATTACTATCACTATATTATTATTATTAAATATTTTAGTTTAAATTATTTATCTAATTTTCGTAATTTATACTTTATAAATTAAAATAATTATGTGTTCGTATGCTTCTTGCTAAGTTTTATAATTTTTTTTTTATCTTAAATTTTGTGTACAAATATTAAATCTAATAGTAGTGAAATTAGATATAAAATAATTTTAAAACATGTAACACACAAACATTCTTCATAATAAATAAATAAATAACATGTTTGTAGAATAAATAACATATTTGTAGAATATTTTTTATTTCATTTTCTACAACATACAAATTAAATTTATACATACAAATTAAATTTAATTGATCTAATTAAATCTAGTAATAGTGAAAAATGTTGTACTTCTTAACTGCACGATAGAGTCCGAGCACTTGTTAACTGTTGAACACTATAGAGACAGTAATCTAAATTCAACCAACCTGTTCATTTATCGTTTATTATTTATTGTTTATTAGTATTTGTTCATATATTTTAAAATTAAAAACTAATGCGGTTACGTAGGAACGTAAGTGAATCTTATTAATATCACGATATATATTATTAGTATTGCTATTACTATATGATTATTATTATCGTTATTATTATCATCATTATCCTTATCATTATATTATTTATTATTTAATTGTTGAAGTCTGTGATTCAATTTATGTTGTTAATTATCATTTTTATCTATTTACTATATAACTATTACTATTATTTATAAGTCGATAATTAGTAATTGTTAATTTTTATTTTATGCAGGAACAACAATTCGGTTACATGAATGAATGCCGAAGTGAAGAGTTCTATTGTTTCTTTAGTAATTGTAATTATTAATGTCTCTCTATATAATTATTTTTCATTAGTAATTGTCTATTTATATTGAGGGATCACCAAGATTGAAGAAGATGCTTTCAGCCTATTCTAAAAAAATAAAACAGGAAGTACCATTTAAGTAAAAGTAGTCTATTTTAAAACATTAAAACACGTAACTACCATTTTAAATATTAAGTAAATGTTGTCTATTTTAAAACATGTAACTACCATTTAAGTAAAAGTCAAATAAAAAGAATAATTTTAAAAATTAAAAATTCAAAAGTACAACTACTCACGTAGATCAACATGCAATTTATACACTTTCTCAATATAAAAAGAGTATTGTAGGGCCCACAACTTACTTTCCAAAAATAGAAAGTGAGTTGCCTAATTATATAGTAAATAGATTTTCAAATCAATCAGCGTTTTACCAAATATATTTTTTTTAAAACCGCTACTATGCTATCAAAACAACAAATACTAACATGCGGTTAAAGCAGAATAAACTAACATGCGGTTAAAACATGTATTCTGCTGAGCCAAAAAAAAATAAATAAATAAATAACTTTTCTGTCATATTCAAAAAAAAATAATAATAATAATAATAATAATAATAAAAATAAAGAAAAATAAATGAACGACCAAAATTTGAAATACCATGCAATATTAACCAACCGTCTCGTGGAATGCCACACAAAAGTAAACATGGCCAAAACCCGAACCGAGTCACGGCACGGCACGGCACGGCCCGACATCAAAACACAGACCCAGACTCGACACGAACCTATACTCGTGCCGGGTCAATGGTCCGGTTGACCGAACCCGATCGCGTCTAGGACGGGTTCGTCATTTTTTTAAAAAATCATAGAAAAAATATAAAAAATAGAAAAAGCAGGACATTGACCCAACCCTAACCGAGCCCGTTGGGTTGGGTCATGAAATTGATGACCCTAAAACGGCCCATCTGAAATCCGATCCAGTCCTAGTCACGTGGTCAACGGGTTTGACTGGGTTGGCGGGCCGAGCAGCCCTTGGCCATGTCTACACAAGGATATCAAACTCAGATAAGCTACTAGCTAATGATTGATTCCTGATAGCTGATGATGAAACAAAATCAATGTAATTTGTCTCAACCCTAGCTTTACCATCTTCACTATTTATTGGTGAAAAAATAACTGATGAAGAAGCGTCTTATTAATGATCAGTTGCTACAAAGGCTGTGTATAGCTGACAAACCAATGAACGGATACCATCCTCTCCCCCACATAAATTAAGTGTTTACATACAACGCCAATAAATAACAAAATTGTCCGTGTACTTTAGCTACCGCGCATTAGAAAACGCTCTCCAATTACCCCTCCAGGCCGAGAGCCCGAGCAATAATATATCAAACGAGAGATAGAGAGAGGGGGAGCGCATTTTCTTTCTACTGATTCTCACTGAAAGCCAGATCAAATATTTGACTGTAATCCTCGACAAAATGTACCTCGAGGCCTTCCTTCACATTAGGTGCCAGCTCATCATAATCCCTCCGGTTAGCAGAGGGAAATATGATGGTCTTCACATCACTCCTCCTGGCAGCAATTGTCTTTTCCTTGACCTGAAAGAGAAATTTTTTTCATAAACTGGAGGAACAACACGAGAGGTGCAAAGCAGACAAAAATAATATATATATATAGTCTACTCCATAGAACTTCTCATAATTAACCATATCCCTGCACTTTCAAAATATAAAATTGGTATATTCCATAATTACACCGAAATTTCAGTCGTCACTTGTCACGCTCTGATTTTTCCACGAGTAGAATAAAGGAAAAAAAAATGCATTTTTAGTCCGGTTTAACATCATAGCAATTTTATTTAGTCCCAAAATCTTATGTTCCTGTGATTTAATATTTTGCTGCAATTGAGGACTGAAATTGCAACAAATTTTAAATTACAGGACTTAAATTGCTAATTGAAAATCGGGGAATTTTGGGAATTTGTTGCAATTTCGGTCCTCAAAGGACTAAAATTGCAGCATCATAAGGATCAAAAAGCAAAATGTTGGAACCTTGGGACTAAAATTGTTATGGCAAAAATGGCTACAGTTAAAATGGCAAGGCTATAAATGCAATTTTGCCTAGAATAAATAGTAAAGCATAATAAAGAATCAAAAAGTAATTACCCCGCCAATAGGAAGAATCTTTCTCGTCAATGTGACCTCCCCAGTCATGGCCAGGTCCTTCTTGACCGGTCGACCCATGGCGAGTGACAGAAGGGACGTTATCATGGTGCAACCGGCACTGGGCCCGTCTTTGGGCGTGGCCCCCGCCGGCACATGGAGATGGACCTTTGTGTTGGCAAAGAACTGATTTGAAGGGTCCTTCTCAGTCAGTATGGCCCGTGCAACCGTGTGGGCTATCTGGGCGCTCTCCTTCATGACGTCCCCAAGCTGACCCGTGAGGCTGAGGGCCCCACCCTTGCCCTCCCCTTGCTCGACTAGGGTGGTTTCAATGTAGAGGGTCGACCCGCCCATGGCCGTCCAGGCCAGGCCCATCACAACTCCAACTGGTGTCTGCTCGTATATGCGCTCGGCATGGAAAACGGGCTTGCCCACAAAGTCGACGAGGTTGGACGAGTCAACCAGGACCTTAGCTATGGGGGGTTCTGTTTTTTCGTTTTTGCCGGGTTCAACAGTATCCTTTCAAGGGATATAAGATTATATATAGTCAAAATGAAAGAACAAAAAGGCGGAAGTACGAAGAGGGTAAAAAATGTTAAATCAAAATGTATAACAACCTTTTTGACACTATAGACTAGTTAACAAAAAGGGAAAGAGAAGGGAAAAAGTTGGTATTCAAAAAGTACGAGAACCCCTTAAGATTTGTTTTCATTATACCAATTGCACTCCGGGTCGGCCATTTGTTCAATGAATACAAACCTCAAGAAGGTGTAATGCTTACTTGTATTCTGCAAAGGAAGTAAAGAACACACTTCCTTGGCCTATGATTTGACTAATGATGGATAAAGCTAAAGATTGATATTGTTGAATGCTTAAAAGACAAATTAAGTCCAAGGTCCATCAGATGAACGAATAAGAGAGGAATAATATTTTCTCAACTCTCGCCTTCAAACTTTTCATAGTACAGGAAAAAAATAGAAAGAACATTTTTTATTTGGATACCTCTGCATTGCCAGAATGATCAGTACAATTCGGAGCTTGATCAGCTGATGGTTCCAATACTTCAGCTTCTACAGCACTTTCAGACTCTTTTCCATCAACATCACCCTTATCGCCAGATTCGACATCCGTTATTTCAATCAAGGTTTCATGAGTGGATGCAGAATCAGATTCTGCCTTGATCTCATCAGCTTGGCCCTCAGCTCCACTAGCAGCAGGCTCAATATATACTCCTTCCCGCACAAGCTTTAGGGCAATCTGGCCATTTAGTCAAAGAAATTGTAAGTAAAAAAGAACAAACAAGTCATTCTCTTTCTAACACGAATGGAATGGATAATCATTAATGACCATCCAAAAGAAATTCCACAGCACATTAAAAAAATAAAAAAAATAAAAAAATAAATAAATAAATAACAAGAAAAAAAAGCAGGGAAACCTTTCGATATATCTTTTCAATTTGCTTTTGAAGATTCCGAACCCCAGCCTCTCTGCAATAATTCTCAATCAAAGCCAGAAGAGCTGTATCTGTTACCTCAACCTGGAACAAACGAGATTATTATGATAAGTGATTTACAAAAAGGTCAGAGCATTCTGTAAAAGAGAAACAACATTGCATGATACATTCAGGGTTGGGCCACTTCATTCGATAGAAGGCAATCGAAAGTTTATCAAAAAGATATGTCCCCAAAACGACATATTTCATCTTACAAGACAATCCTAAGAAGATTCCTAGGAAATTAAACAGTTCACCAAATCTTAAATAAATGTAGTTACTAAATAATTACTACAGCCTCTAAATTTTTTCTATTAGTTTAGACTTCAACACATATTAGTGCATGACAACTGCTTTCCAATATGCCTTATGTTCTTACCATCTAGTTATGAAATCGTAAACGGACATTAATGACAATCTTCAGGTGCATCAGTAGAGGGAGATGTAAAATATCCAAAATGCAATGGTTAATTCAGCAAAGGAAGTACCTGTTCCGGCTTGATACCACATGCTTCTCGTGTATTTTTCTCCAGGTAATCCCTAGCAATGTGCATTTTCTCATCAGTAATATAGCCAGCAATGGATATCACCTCCATCCTATCCAATAAGGGATTGGGAATCATTTCAACAACATTTGCGGTGCAAACAAACAAAACCTGCACCAATTGTGACAATATTGAATGCATTAAGACATAGGTAAGGAAGAGAATCTGATTAAAAATCCAAAATTACAATATAATCAAGCCAGTGAGTAAAGCACAACTCTTATCCCTAGACAAATACTGGATGTTCATGTCTAATGTGTAAGCCCTAGATGAAAAGCCTACGTGGAAGAACAAAAATGAACTTATTCAGTCAATGAAGACTAACCGATTAGAGGTCTAAAAGTAGACTGGGAGCTAGTGTTTGTTTTCCAGCAATAAGAAAGGTAAAACTAGTCCTGGTGTCTATTCTGCTGATTGTATTATTTTATCATATCAAATAGAAGCAAAGTCCACCAACCACAAAGGATGTCATATATCAATATATAATGCTAAGCCTGCAACGTAATTACCTTGGATAAATCAATTGGAACATCAAGGTAGTGATCCAGAAAGTTTGCATTCTGCTCCGGGTCGAGTAGTTCAAGCATTGCACTTGCAGGATCCCCTGCATGTCCCCTTCCCAACTGCCAGCAAATTAAAATTATTAGTTTAATTCAAGAATGCTATCAAACTGTAAAAGAAAAAAAAA